TTGGTTGAAGAGGTTATACTTCTTTAATTGTAATAACCAGCTTTATTTGATTTTCAATTACATTTACATTATTTAATTGATATAGCAAACACAAGCAAATTCCTGGTGTACTAAAAATGTGCATTGGCGGTTGAGAAAACCGTTACGCTTTCACTTTATTTTATGTTTAAATTGCCCTCCATTTTCCCGTACACAGGCTCTTGCTCTTTTTCTAATAGCGTGCACAGAGACATTGATTGTCAGTTCATTTCTCACTTTATTTGCAGCTTCAATAATATAATTACGCAAGTCATTTTCATCCCGAACAACGGTCTTGTACACTTCACTTTTCATGTATCCCCAAACATAAAAGTCCAAAGGGGTAAGATCTGGAGACCTGGGTGGCCAAGCAACAGTACCTCCATGACCTATCCAAATCGGATAATTTTCTGTCAACCACTGTCGAACATCGTTGGCGAAATGAGGGAGTGCACCGTCTTGCTGGAATATTAACTCTTCTCTTTGCTGTTGAGTGAGTTGATCAAGAAGTTGAGGCAGGTTGTGCTGCAGAAAATCTAGATATTTTACTCCTGTCAAGTTTCCTTCAAAGAAATGCGGCCCTACCAACACATCACCAACAACTCCAGCCCACACATTTAAACTGAATCGATGCTGGAAAGAAGATTCCCTCATTGCTCTTGGATTCTCTGTTGTCCAGACATGCATATTGTGATAGTTGAAAACTCCCTCTTGATCGAATCGTGCCTCATCTGTCCACAGTATTTTTTTCAAGAAGTAGTACTCTTCGATGTCTCTGTTCAGGAGCCAGCGACAGAACACCATTCTAGCTTCATAATCATTCCATTCAAGAGACTGGACCTGAGTGAAATTATGTGGATGATACGTATTATTTTTCAAAATTTGTCATACTTTCCAACGATAAAGACCAGTATCAGCTGCTTATTTCTGGTGCCGCCTTGTGCTTATTTCTGGATTATCTTCAACCCTTGCTAAAATATCTTCCTCCGCAAAAACATCAATATTAGTAGGACCTACCTCTTTTTTGATATTCTTAACAGATCCTGTTTCTAATAGGCGTTGGTGGAGTCTGGTAAATACTTGTGAACTTGGAACAACACCGTCAGGATAGCGAATGCCATATTCCCTCTGGGCCGCCCGCGCGTTACCGTCACAAAATCCATAGATGTAATGCATATCAGCGTACTCCCGATTTGAAAAAGACATAGTTTTAATTCCGTTAACTACTTTGGACTGACTGAGCGAAGTGTTTGATCTGAGCTGTACTATTCGTCATTCGATCTGGATAATAATGGGGACAGAAAGAACAGGCCTAAACTTCTTTATCTTATCATATTGTAGAAGATAAGCTGGAATTAAAATATCTGATTCTGTATTAGGAAACAATCTTTGTGCAAAAAGACTCTGCTAGATAGGTATGCAGTAGTCACTGTATTTTATAGTAAAGAAATATAAAATTGTCAATTATTACACACAGTTAAGTTAGGAGCACTGTTTGAGGCAAACATAGTATTTTTATAATTTTACCGATTTTAAGCATACCACGTTTTTTAACACTCAAATTACTAAAGACAGCACAAGTTGAACTTAAATGTATTAGTGTAGCATACTGTTTGAAAGCTTATAAAATGGCACAGTTTTTTGAACTTAAATGTATTAGTGTAGCATACTGTTTGAAAGCTTATAAAATGGCACAGTTTTTTATGTAACTTGACACTTTCTCGTATACAGGGTGTAAAAAAGTGCAATAGACCAAAGATTTTATAAGTTTCAAAAAACATAGTAATTTTTTACTTTGACACAATTTAAAATGTTGTTTTATTCCCTAAATCTCATAACAATTGTTTTTTTCTCGTTGGAAATTTAATGTAGAACATGTTTATGGTATCAGTTGCTTTGATATGTGTAGTAGTGGACAAGAAATTTTATCCTTAAGTTTCAACACAAGAGTATTTTATGAAAAGTGAAACACATTTTTTTTAAGCCAATTTTGAGAGTTGGAATGTTTTATATACATCATTAAACTCCATTTACATTGTACAGGGTGGCGCAGATGGATCGGGTGGTTTTAAAATATTTGTCAAACTGCCAATTTTAAAGGTATTGGATTGAAATAAAGTGTAAAACGTGTAGTTACAATGGAAGTTTATTGAAAAAAAAATTAGTTAAGTTTTTAAAAATTATATCCATCAAATGCCTTCCTTCTCGAGCGACGCATTCTTGGAGTCGGACCTAGAGGTTCCGCATTGCTCGCTCAAGCACATCACCAGGAATTGATGTGATTTCGTTGTGAATTGCAGCCTTCAACTCCTGAAGCAAGGGTCTACATGAACAAACCCCGGACCATTCAGGAGTTGAAGGCTGCAATTTACAACGAAATCACATCAATTCCTGGTGATGTGCTTGAGCGAGAAATGCGGGACCTCGAAGACCGACTCCAAGAATGCGTCGCTCGAGAAGGAAGGCATTTAATTGATATAATTTTTAAAAACTAACTTAACTAATTTTTTGTCAATAAACTTCCATTGTAACTACACGTTTTACACTTTATTCCAATCCAATACCTTTAAAATTGACAGTTTGACAAGTATTTTAAAACCACCCAATCCATCTGCGCCACCCTGTACTTTTACCGAAAAATTTTTGTAACACTGATGACCAGCCACCCTCTGTATATATATATGAATTTGAACAGATGGTGTTTTTGGCCTCTAGGGACCTCAAAACGAATAAGTAAATCGGTCCCGAGTCCAGGTCTTATCATGAGACTTACGGTAATAGCTTATTCCCTATATGGGAAATTCGCTAAAAAAAACATTATTTCTATTTCTTCAACTTGGTGGTGTTCCATGACTTTCCTATGTTTCAATACTTTGCAAATCGGCTCTTTCAATGATTAATAAGAAATGCAGCACAGTGTTAATTCAGTTTTCTTTTTAGTATATCAAATTATCCAGGCTATCTCGCTTTTCCCCTTGTAATATTTACACCAACCCAAATTCAAATAGTAAATATTTCATTTCAACCAAGTCAGTAAATGTTTGTAACAAACTGTTAAATTAGCAAACTAATTTTTTTCTTTTTTACAATTAACATATGTTCTTCTTCTCACGTTTAATTTCTGACAACAGCTGGAGTTTCATAATAATATCTGTTTCCCATGTTAATCTTATGGAGAAATACAAAATTTTAAAGGGTCCTAGGACAACACTATCTAATTAATTCTCTAAAAAGAAAGTTTCCTGCACAACTTCGCGTTACGCTCTTTCCAATGACACCAAAAACATATCAATCGGCTCAGTAGTTTCGGAGGAGTAATTGTCACAAAAAACCTGCTTGCATATTAAATAAGTACTAGTATCCCTGTTGCTCGAAATCGAGCAATTGCTAAGTATTACAGGTGTTATTTTAAAACGAATAACAATCATAATTTTTGATGACTTTAAAATATTTGACTCAAAGATTATGGAATACTCAAGATGTATATCATAGATCAATGTAATCAACATTTCTTATAAATATCTTATCATTTTTCAAGAGACGATATTTGTAATCCGTTGTCCATAATAACGATTATAAATATATAAAAAAACCACATTATTTATATTTCTTCTCCTTGGTGGTGTTCTCTGACTTATCTGACCATACTTTGCAAATCGGCTCTTTCAATGATTACCAATAAATGCTGCAGAGTTTTAATTCAGTTTTCTTTTTAGTATATCAATTCATCCAGGCTCTCTCGTTTTTTCCATTGTAATATTTACGCCAACCCAAATTCAAATAGTAAATATTTCATTTCAACCAATAGCAAACTAACTGTTAAATTAGCAAACTTGACTGTTAACATATGTTCTTCTTCTTACTTTTAATTTCTGACAACAGCTGGAGATTCATAATAATATTTTTTTCCCATGTTACTAATGGAGAAATACTAAACTTTAAAGGGCACCAGGGCCTCGCCCTCTCATTATTTTCCTAAAAAGAAAGTTTCATGCACAACTTCACGTTACGCTCTTTCCAATGACACCAAGAACATGTCAATCGGTTCAGTAGTTTCAGAGGACGTAATTGTCACAAAAAACCTGCTTGCGTATTAAATAAGTATAGATAATATATAGATAGATAGATTTGTACACGGCAATAACCATTTTACTTTACATTTTTAGTTTCATGATGAATGTTACACATATAGGTACTTACGTATTAAACGGAGGCCACCTAACCTACAGATTCGATTCGATTAGTAAACCTTCACCATCAGCAAGTTTGGTTGGTTAGGTTAGGTTAAGATAGTTTAATTTGATAAAAAAACATATATTTATGATAACCCAACCTAACATAACCGCTGCAGCGCGCTGTAAAATATGTGGCCTCCGTATAATACGTAAGTACCCAAATATAATATGCAAATGTTTTATTACTACAAACACATTACATAGGATACTCTCTGTTTCTTGCTAAAACAAATTATAGGCTATAGGCCAACAATGTAGTAACTTTCTTATTAACATTTTATTCATTCTCAAAACTAGGTAGCCAGATGAAACTTATATAGCAAAATGTGCTGGCATTTTTAGAGAATCTATCAGACACTTTCAGGGATTTTTACATTACATTTTTCACAACACAAGATATTCTTCCAGAGTTGCTACATATCACAAAGCACTATTTTTTTCTTCACAATGCTCAGATTTTTTTGTTTCGAATAAGGTATTCCTATAGGCCTAAAATTAGAGGGAGAGCGAGCTGGCCTAGTGGTTAGAGCGCGGGACTTCAGTCCTTGAGGTCCCAGGTTCGATCCCCGCTAAGTCACCAATGGGTTTTATCTAAGTGATAATGCCGCAACCACTAGGTCTAGCCTGAAGTAATGTGAAAAACAATCCCAGGCTCGTGCCTAGCTTCCTACGACAAAAAAAAAATAGGCCTAACATCTTATTGTTTATGTTTGTTCAATAAAGTTTAGTAGGCTAAAGGTATCTCACCATCTGCTTCAGCTCTGACCAAAAGAGAGATGCCTTTTAGTCGATCAACATAGTTGGATGAGACATGGCCCGTTCCTCGGTCATCCCACTGGCGGTCAGCATTGAGAGCATAGAGCTTGACACGCCGCCTTGTATCCGTCATGGCCGAGTCTCTCGTAGTTTACTTTTCGGTTACATCTGAAATTGTATGTTCAAATAACTACAACAATACAAAGTAAAAAATATTCTGCATGAGTTTACGCTAAGCTATGATTGAACATAGCTTATTGTACGGTATTCTATTCTCAATGTTTGGAAATGTTACTATTCAAGGGTTTTTTTAATGATCAGTCTGTATTTAATAGTATCACTGTTCAATATTCTCTTGACTTTATCTTAATCAGCTTTTACACATTTCAAGTTTCCGTACTCTTTTGTTATACTGACAACACCAGGTTGTTTTTTGTTATATCCACTGCACCAGGTTAGGTTAGGTTATTTATTCAATAAAAAACTCACTTTTGTTTTTAAATGTTTAGTTACCTACTTACTAACCTAACCTCGTGTGTTCAGTATGACGGAAGAGTACCAAATTGTTAAATGGCTACCAAACAGTTTTATAACATGTAGCCTAAGTTAGTTACAACAAATTAATATCACCAGGAATTATTTCCAGAGAAACAATTTTTTTTTAATCCACCTATTAAGTTAGCTAAACCGAGTGTACTAAACTAAAACCGGTGATTACTAAACTAAAACTATTTCTGAACAGTGAGATTTAAAAAAAAAAGATGCTGTATGGCAAGAACAGTTGGAATAAAGGACAACAAAGGTAGGCCTAACATGTAGGCTACCTAACATAAGAGAGGTCCTGGTTATATGGAGTAAATAGGTAGATTGAAACCCTCCTAATTGAGGAAGAGATGAGACAGAGGAGCAAACAGAGCCCAAATTCAACCTGAAATATTAGATTAGACTTTTAAAAAATAACAAAGCTCCAGGACAGGCAGCAGAAAATCTTCCAAGAGGCAGACCACCATTGTGGCACCCAAGACCGTGATGCAAGTGCAGAAGGACATGCAGAGGCTGAACGTAACACCAGATCTCTTGCAATTGCGAGCTAATTGCGAGCCTAATTGCGGGCTATTGGCGAGACCAAAAACATTTTGGGGTTTGTTGAGTGGCCACGTAGGTAGATGGGTATTAGCTAAGAACCATTTTATAATCCTTTAAAGCAGTTTTAGCGAGACGGTTGAGATTGCGCGAAAAATGCTGGCGTCTCGGAGCGAGACGCTCAGAAAGTCACTTCTTACAGTACCTATTACATTTCAATAAAGCTGGCTGCAAATCACACCGCAAACGCGAAGGAGGTTGGGAACAACTTTTTTGCTCTTTTACTGTACAATGGAGCTGAGAAATGTGGTCAACCAATTTAAAAACCATTACGCAATAGTAGACGGCTTTACACAGCTGGTTCATGTATTGTTGTTTCGACTGTTTACGTTCTAGTAAATAAGAAGAATAAGAATAAGAATAATTTATTCCATTGATCTTTTTACAAAGAAATAGGACAAGTCATATACATTACAAAATAATCATCTTAATACAATCACATTTCTGATTACACCAAAATATTACATAAAATACAATTAGGCATAATAACTCATTTTAATTAATAACAAGTGTCCCTGTTGCTCGAATTCGAGCAATTGCTTAGTATCAAGGGCGTTATTTTAGAACTAATAACAGTCAAAATTTCTGTTGACTTTAAAAGATTCGACTCAAAGATTAATACTCAAGAAGGAAATACTCAAGATGTACATAGCAGATCGATATAATCAACATTTGTTGTAAATATCTTATCATTTTTCAAAAGCTGATCTTGTGTTTTAGTGCATTCTTACAAACAGCCTAACTCATTGCCGCATTAGGTTGTCCATAATAATTACGATTATGAATAAAAAAAAAACATTATTTCTATTTCTTCTCCATGGTGGTGTTCTATGACTTTCCTATGTTTCCATAGTTTGCAAATGGGTTCTTTCAATGATTACTAAGAAATGCAGCACAGTGTTAATTCAGTTTTCAATATACCAATTTATCCAGGCTCTCGCTTTTTCCATTTTAATATTTACGCCAACCCTAATTCAAACAGTAAATATTTCATTTCAACCAAGTCTGTAAATGTTTGTAGTAAACTGTTAAATTACCAAACTTATTGACTGTTTGCAATTAAGATATGTTCTTCTTCTCAGTTTTAATTTCTGACAACAGCTGGAATTTCATAACAATTTTTGTTCCTCATTATAATCGTAATATATGAAATAATGTGCGTCAGTTTTCAAGCCGTGCACGCGCTCTTAATGTTTTCGTGTATTCGTGTTTTCGTGTGTCCGTCCTGTATATATATGTGTATTATTTATTCAACACCTGACGCAATGCAAATGAAGAATGTTCGTGTTAAATGTGACAAGACTATAGTTTAGTGTACCACTACGCACCTGACGATGGAGTCATCTCCGAAACGGCCGTAGTGAAATACTACCCCTGATTGCGTTGACGGTAAGAACCATAGATATATTTATTATATTTTCACGCAATCTGCCACACTCAAGAATATCAATAATTTTATTTGCAGAAGTTCACAAAATGGTATTTATTCGAATAAAAGAAAGAAATGGCGGACTACGAAAATAGATATTTCATAGCATGTAATAGATCCAAATTAAAAGTGCATTTTTATCTTTTTGCATACCAATAAGCTACTATTTAAGTAAGAAACCCACATATAAAACATACTCCCTTATATTAGTACATTTCTCATCCATATGGATCAGCTGAAGACAGTTTTATTGTTAGTTCTGTCCGGTGCACTGTCTTTAGAGGTCGTGTTTTGTTTACAATTGTTTCTTGTTTTCAGTAATTTAAAACCTCGTTTAACCAAATAAAACGTTCTAATCACAACTAATAATACGTCCCCTAGTTATATAACCAAACAGTAAAGAACAAATCACGAAGTTAACTATAAAATAATAGAAACACAATTTTGTCGACACTAGCGCTCAGTGTCACCGGACAAGAACTAGACACGAAAAACGAGCTTCAAAGTTTACAATGGGATGTAAAGTTTACTTGTGTTGGTTAGTCTATGGTAAGACTATAATGCATTTTCCACAATAATAATCATAAGAATAATGTAACATACTTCTAAATATATTTATTTTATCGACTACGTTGCTCATACTCCTAATTAATCGTAGGATACGACATTATGGTACCGATACGATATAGGTACTACACTTTCGGCAACACTGGCCAAAAATATTTGTGCTTGGCTCCCATTGGACGGCCCGGCGAGGCTTCTGATTGGGAGTTAGCGAGTTCCGCCGAGGGACCATGTTAGCGACTTCCGTACGAGGACGGAATTCGATAACCCAGCTCTAGAGCGGGTTAGCGGGTTCCGGAGTTAGCCAATTCCGAAACCGAACAAGTTAGCGAGTTCCTCTCATCAACCAAATTTGAAGATAGGGCGTTTAACATGGGGTTAGCGAGTTCCAGAGTTAGCCAATTCCGCGGACCCAGAAATACCCCCGCCGCAGCAAACCTGCAGACTAAGCAAATTTCCATTAACCTGATTGGATTTACACTAAAATGCCTCCATAAAAATAGCACATTTATTTCCTATTTAAATAGAATTAGTTTAACGAGTACTTAGGTTTGCTGCAACAGGGAGGGTAAAAAAGATTTTTTTATAAAATGATAATAGTTTAGTAAGAAATAAAAGTATTTTCCAAAATCGATCAAAATATGTTCATAAACAAGCAAACTACAACAGTTGACTTATTCTCCATAAGAATAACATGGGAATTTTAAAATTACAATTTTTTTTAATTTTCTCCGTGACAATTAGGCGCATAATAACGCTTCAATATACTAAATTATTTGTTTTTTTGAAGCTCTACAAAACGGTTTCAAAAGAAATTGTGAAATTTGGTGTTTTTAGGGTCAAAAATGGGAAAAAACCTATTTTTACCCCATAAAACCCCCCATAAACCCCCGTTCCCATAGTCCGATCATACTGGTTCGCGAACTCATTCAAGTTTATCCCGCCTTACACCTTCAAACCAAATTTTATCAAAATCGGACAAAAATTACTCAAGTGTTGTGCGGATGGACACACACATATATAAATATACATATCTAAATATAGATATATAAAAATTTGAACGAATGGTGTTTTTGGCCTCTGGGGACATCAAAATGAAAAAGTAAATCGGTCCCGGGCTTAGGTCTTACCATGAGACCTACAAAAAGCTAAAAGAAAAGAAGAATAGAAAGAATGGCTAAATTCGCTAAAAGAAAGGGCCTAGAACAGAACCCTGAGGGACACCGGTCTCTACAGGTTTCATAGCAGAACATTTATTTTTAACTGATCACATAACTTACTGATTTCTGCCGTACAAATATAATTGAATAATTTTTAGTGTGCCATCTTCAATGCCATAGTATGATAGTTTACAGTACGTCAAAAGGAACACTATCAAAAGCTTTACTAAGATCACACAAAACTAGCAAAACCGACTCCTTATTTTCAAATGCATTTAGTGATAAATCTGTTAGGTTACTGCTGAGGTGGTAGACTTACCAAGACGGAAACCATGCTGGCATTCAGAAAATAAATGTTGGGACTCTCAAAGATATTTTGAGCAATGATGAAAAGTATCCTTCAGACATACATTTGTTAAAAATAAAAGCAAGTGGCTCACTTATTATATGGATGGTTTGTTTGAGTATTGAGTTAGACAGCCAATAATAATCCATTGAATTAGAGTTGGAGAATTTAGATACTACTTCCGTATTACGGTACATCAGTTGAGGAAATTTCTGTCCGTATGGACATTGTTGTGTTTTTTGGAATATTATTCCAGAGTTCTATACTGGATTATTGGGACCGAGATTTGTTCCTTTGCTTAACTGATTTATTCCTATAAAGAAATTGTTAAATTCATCCAGATCTAGATTGACAGCAGAACTTTGAGTTGGAGAAAACTCACTGCTTATAACTTTCCATGCAGCCTTGCAGGAATTTGAGGCATTGCTTATATACTGCTCCACAGCAATTTTTTTTTAGCTTGCAGAAGTTCCATTTTGATATCATCTTTTTTGTTGCAAATAAACATTGTAGGCAGCCTGACAGTGCTCTGAACCTTGCTTAAGCATATTCTTATAAATTGTATAGGCCTACAGTTTACAAATGTTTGTTTACGAGTTGTTTTGGTTATAGAATTGCAAGGTTGATCGGGAGGTTGGTCATGAATTGTTGAAACATAAATTTTAAACCTTTAAAGAGTTATAATACCACAACTTAGTATTCTTGTGTTTTGGTGATAGTTTGTAGCTAATCACATAAAGTGTACCGGTAACTGGACTTTGTAAGTTAGGCCTATAGGTGAATGATTTTATTTTGACCGTTTGTATATTTTGTGCATGGCCTCTAATCGTATTCTAATGGTAATTTGAATAGGCTAATAAACATAATAATAATAACATAAAATACAGTCAAATGTAAAATGATATACCCAGGCCCACTTTTATAAACGGGCAGACTGGGCATATGCCCAGGGGCGCCGGAGGCAACCACCGCCCGCCCACACTAGGAAAAAAGGGGGCGCTGCTTTTGGGTTTGAAGCCCAGGACTCCACTGACCCTTAACGCGGCCCTGGATATACCGGTAGTTTTGTCTTTAACAACGAAAGTCTTAGAGCATAATTTAAGTTAGGTTGTTTGCTAAGTAGGGCCTAATTTTTCAAGACCTCTTTGTAGTAAAAATGTTAGCCTAGGTACATATTTTTTGGACATAATAAATACATAGATATACGGTACCGGTGAGTTACGGTACATGATTTCTCTTTAAGTTTAATTTTAATTGTGGTGTGAGTAGCCTCCGGATTGCGAATAATAACTAGTGATAGTGGTTTAAATAGGCTACCTACATTATTCTTGCAATCCGATTGTTGTCTTCGGATTGCAAGAATAAGGTATTTAAACCACTATCACTAGTTAGTTTTTAAACCTAATGCTCTCTTTAAAATGAATGTAAAATTGAATTTCAATGAATAATTTTAAATGATGATATTTTAACTCAAACTTTGAAAATGAGAATTAAGTAAGTTATCTGCACTTCACATTTCACATTTCTGTCTTGTCCATGAAAATAATTTTATTTTAACTCATGAAACCCAACTAAAATTAACTTAACTTACACTAGTAAGTTATTTTACAATGCACGATCTAATAACTAAATATATACAAAACAAAACAAATTTACTTAGGCAAAAAATGTAATAGGTACCTAGGCCTATAGTAACTTAAGTTACTGTAGGCCTAACTTAAGCTAAGGTATGTTAGAAAAAGTGAAAGCGGTGCTCTGACAATTTCTTTATCTTAGGGATTGTAAGTAAAATCAAAAAGGCAATAAATGTGTAGGCCTAGCCTAATGAATACGTTAGTTGTCCTTTTAAACTCAAGTGCTCTAAAAGAAATTATGACCATGGACTTGAACTAACTTAATTGGTAATTATTCCGTATAGGTGCCTCCAAACGAATTTTTAATTTTGATATCTTACTTTATAGTTTTTTACCTCCTGAATCCAAATATAGGCCTACCATATTTTTCACAGCTGATGAATATTTCTCAAGATATCGCCGTATTAATATAGCCTACGGTACAACATTACAATAAACAAGGTAGGATGGATGACATTTACAAGTGGAATGAACTATGGGTTAAGTAAGCCAACAGCTGATTGTTTTCAATCATAGTCAAGCAAATGGAAGGGACAACTTTAATTAGCTAACTCTGATTTTGCAATATGAAATTACCTTATTACCAAAGCTGCGTTGTTGACCAGCATAGCTGGATAAACTGCGTCAATTTTTAAATATAAATAAAAATTATTTACAACAAAAAATAAATACTTGTATCTTTCAAGGAAACAAATTAGAAAGTTTCAGAAAATAAAATAAAAACTTGGCGGGTGACTACGGAGGTGATGTGCACTCTACCATTTGTCTTCAAAATACTCTCTCATGGAGTAGTAGGCTCTTTGAAGAAGCCTATCTCGTACAACCCTGGCAAACGTTTTTTTCGGAAGACTGCTGATCTCTGGGGGGAGCTTGTTGAACAACTTCCAAGAAAATCACCTGATTAAGTTACACTTTTCACTTTCTAAGACCAATAAGTTAATAATGTATTACCCTAGCCTATTGTTACTCAGTATTTTATCATTATTAATGATTTAGGCCTATATTTCGCCGTTTAAAAATTACATAATAAAATGGTGCTATTCTAACATAACCTAACCTAACAAAACCTCTAGAGTGTAAGCAAACTCCTTTTGATGTCAGAAAAGGCATTTTAGGGTGATAGGTCGTGCTTTATGTGAATTGGTGACTGCATTAAGTCCTTTAAAGGTAGGTTAGATTAGGTAAGTTAAAGTTTAGGTTATAATGTATCAAGTTGTTAGTTTATGTCACCTGCAGACTGTTTTTGTAAAATTAAAATCCAGAAAAAAACACTTCAAAGTGTTTTTCTCTAGGGATCCCAGACGTCCTCTTTTTCCCGGACACGTCCTCTTTTTGGGTACAAAAAAAACGTCCGGGGGGATTTTTGGCAATACTTTCAAATGTCCGGGATTTTGACTTTGTGAGATAATAAAAATATATTTCTGCAAGTATTAATATTAGCAATCAGCTTTTATAAGATATCGTCATCATAACATTAAACTAAGATAAAATACTACACTTGAATAATATCTTACGTATAAAAGTGTCATTTATCTTTCTTTAGGTCAAATTACGTGTATAACGTACGCTAGAAACCATTGGAAATACTGTAGAACCAAACGGAACGGCAGGCGAACAATGGTTTCCCTGCTTTGCCTGACTCTGCTGGCTGACTGTTTAAACTGAATAACTCTGCTCACTAGTAGCCAGTTTGCCAGGCCAGTACAAGCGACCGTGTAGCATACTCAACGATCACATAAGACCAATCTGGTCTTATGTGATCGTTGAGCATACTAGCGACCGTCGACCAGTGACTAGCTCTTCGTCTGCTTACTTTACGTAGGCCTACTTAACAAAATGGTACCTAGTGTCTCACACTTTGATGCGGAAGGGACGGATTTAATTTCCGGCACAACCACTCACAACCACAAAAAAGATACACAAAAACTTTATTCTCACAATGACCCCTTGTAAATTGCCACTGGCGTAGTAAAAAAAATAAAACACTGAGTACCAACTATTCAGGCGGTAGCAGTGACGACGCCGTCGACATCGTTAGTTGGGTAGTGTACTTTGTGTAGGTTAACTGTTGCTTGCTATGCAGGTATAATTCAGTCGTGTTGGGTGCTAGTTCATAAACACTTCTTAGATAAAATAAGTTCTCTGGTTCAAAATCATGGTCTGATTTTGGAAAATTTCTGTTTAGCATGCACATTGGCACCAGTTAAAAGTGTGTTTTTGTAAATCAAACATGCTTGAATGTGTTGTAATGTTGCGGTATTCCTTTGATATTAAAACCACAAGTCTCAATAATAAAAAAAATTACATCATACGAGTACAAGTTTATTTAAAAAAAATTTTTTGACCTTTAAAAAATAAACTGGGAAGCTTGAACACATTAAACTAGGTCCTCAAAATAGCTTAAAGACTACCTACTAATTTTAGCACGTTATTTCAAAATGATTCAAAATGACCCCCCTTCTTTGCTGGGGACCTAAGACCCCCCGGTGACCCCCCCCCCCAAATATATACATGTCTAGGACCGCCCTTGGTGAGTAATTTTGTCCTCTTTTTTGATGGAGGGTCCCTGGGAACCCTATTTTCTCAGGATTTTAATTTTACAAAAACAGTCTGCAGGCAACATATAAACTAACAACTTGATACATTAGGCCTATAACCTAAACTTTACCTTCCCAATCTAACCTAACTTCAAAACACTTAACACAGTCACCAATTCACATACAGCACGACCTACCACCCTGACATGCCTAAATAAGACTAGCCTACATGTAATTAGTCCACCAGTCCATCTAGATCTCCATAATGTGACGAAATTCCTATTATAGAAAACATAATTGACTACAGAATCACTTGAAATGTTATCCATCCTACCTTGTTTATTGTAATGTTGTATGTTTTTACGGCGATATCTTGAGAAATATTCATCAGCGGTGAAAAATAATGGTATATTTGGATTCAGGAGGTAAAAAACTATAAATAAGATATCAAAATTAAAAATTCGTTTGGAGGCACCTATACGGAATAAATACCACTTATTTTAATTCGGCTTCGGACCTAATAAATATGTCAAATCTGTACCGTAGGCTTAAAAAGAAGAAACTTAAGTTTAGATAAACTTATCTTTAAATTTTACTCGATGAAAATAAATTTCATGAGGATTTAAGTTAAACTTAATTTAAATCTTGATCAACTTTCACTTAGCTAACTTAGCCTAGATCAATGGTAGCCTATATGGACTAGTCATAACATTTACCTGTAAAAAGTGATTAAAATGTTGCTTTTGTATCATGTAGGCTGGGTTCATCCGTAGACCTTAAGTAAAAAATAACTTCTCCGTTAAGAATTTCTTCAAGTGACTTATTGGAATCTACACCGTATATTACCGTGTCACTAAACAGTTCGTAACAAAATAATAGTAAATCAATTTTGTATACCAAACAGGCTAAACGCTTAAATTTGTTTGCATCAATATCAGACGAATTTCACCAATATGGGTACCTAATGAAGCTTACATTAAAACACTTATAGTAATTTAAAGTCATGATTATGTCAAAGGTTATAAATTTGGACGCTAAAAACAAATGAGAGATCAAGAAGACAATCACAATCAACAACAGACTACACGATAGCAATATCGGCCATTTTGAAATAGTAACACCATTTGAGGGAATAGGGGTTTACATAAAGGAATCAATGGCATTCTGGATATTTTTCTTTTTATTTGAGGCTATGGAGAACGTCAATCCAACAACATAACAGTCTTGTATAGTATATTGTGTTTAATCCAGCTTTGAAGCGTTAATCTGTTGCATTTTAGTGTGGGAATCAGAGGATTCCGTTAAATTACTGTATTTTATGATGTGGCTGTGGCAGATTTTTTCTTTTCTTTTTCTATACTGTCTTTACCAAAAGCAGTAGGTAGGTAGTATAGTGCAGTAAGACAATTAATTGTAAAAGGGACTAAGTAGAGGGAGCACACTGCATAGCATACTGTCCCTCTGTAGTAGACACAATAATTAGACATGGACGTGGACGTCAATTGAGTTCAGATGTCTAGGGCCATGTCATACGAGCGCTATTGCCGTCGCGCAGATGCCGTCGCGTTAAAGTCGCTCCAACCCGGCAATGAGGTTCTTATGGAGCATGTCATACGGACGCTAATGCCGTCGGCGAGTCCGCGTTAGGGCCATGTCATACGAGCGCTATTGCCGTCGCGTAGATGCCGTCGCGTTAAAGTCGCTCCAACCCGGCAATGGGGTTCTTATGGAGCATGTCATACGGACGCTAATGCCGTCGTCGAGTCCGCGTTAGCCGGACGCTGAGCGCTGCCAACGCGGACGGTCGCGTTAGCAACGCGGCGCACGTAACGCGGGACCCTGTCATACGAGCGCTAGCGCCAGCGGGACGCATTTTCCGCGTGAGCACTGACAGAACAACTACTGGAACACCTTTGGAGTGATCATTACGATATTTGATACGATGTTCAATACGGAAAAATGTATTTATTTAGTTGAAAAACTGCCACCTCTGTACGATGTAAAGTCGAGTGATTACAGCAACAGGCAACTGAAGGCACAGTGCTGGAACGAGGATTGGGAGGCAATGCACGAAAACCGGAATCAGATATGGAAATCAGTTTTACTTGTTTTATATTTAATAAAAATAATGCTGTTCCTTTGATTAAAATGATACTCTTCATATGTATCTAAAATGTGCAAAAAGCTGATACAACCTAACTGGATGGTGTCCATCTTTGCCGCGACGGCAAATGCGCCCTGAAGACGCTACGTATGACAGGTACCTGGCGTTGGCGGGACGGCATCAACGCGACGCATTTGCCGTCACGTATGACATGTACTTTTTCCTGCGCTATCTCGACGGCATCTGCGCAACGGCAATAGCGCTCGTATGACATGGCCCTTAGCCGGACGCTGAGCGCAGCCAACGCGGACGGTCGCGGACGCGGCGCACGTGACGCGGGACCCTGTCATACGGAGCGCTAGCGCTAGCGGGACGCATTTGCCGCGTGAGCACTGTCAGAACAACTGGAACACCTTTGGAGCGATCATAACGATAATTGATACGATGTTTGATACGGAAAATTTTATTTATTTAGTTGAAAAACTGCCACCTCTGTACGATGTAAAAGTCGAGTGATTACAGCAACAGGCAACTGAAGGCACAGTGCTGGAACGAGGTTGGGGAGGCCATGCACGAAAACTGGAATCAGATGACAGGATTATTGGATTCTTCCGATAATACTATTCATATGTATCTAAAATGTGCAAAAAACTGGATGGTGTCCATCTTGGTAATAACATAATTGCCGCAACGGCAAATGCGCCCGGAAGACGCTACGTATGACAGGCACCCGGCGTTGGCGGGACGGCATCAACGCGACGCATTTGCCGTCACGTATGACATGCGATTTTTCCGGCGCTATCTCGACGGCATCTGCGCGACGGCAATAGCGCTCGTATGACATGGCCCTTAAGTCTACTGGCAAACATTAACTTATTTTCCCGATCGTGTCGTGTTAGTTCATAGCCTACTTAAGTTATACAGCTTTTTGTCAAAAACTGTTTGATTAGCAATTATTTTTCCTAGCATCTTGGTCGTGGTTTGGTGACTTGGTGTGATGTGAATACTGTGAAACCTGAAACCTGATCTTATAGTTATAACTGAACATGGCCATACTTCTGACCAAATAAAGCAAATAAACATCGAAGGCTATACACTGACGTCAGAGTTCTCCCGCACTAAGCATAAGTGGGGAGGAGTAGCAATCTTCTCAAAAAATGACATAAAACAAAATATTCTATCTGTAAATACCATCAAAAATAGCCAAGAATGTATAGCTGAATTTGCAGCAGCAGAACTAAAAGACAAACATAAAAAACTTCTGATAATAGGCCTATACCGCTCCCCAAGCGAAAACATAGATAAGTTTATACAACTATTAGATACCTTACTTCAACTGCATACAAGTAAAAACAAAGATATAGTTATTCTCGGCGATTTTAACCTCAAGTTGCAGAACAAAGACGATACTCAGGTTAAGAACCTAATCAACATACTAGGATCTCACAATATAAATTTTATCGACACACCTCATACTAGAATTACAGCGACATCAAAAAACTCAATAGACGGATGCGCCTCAAATCTCAATACTTCCCAAATAAATGCAAAAACCAGCCAAAACAACCTTTCAGACCACGAATCTATTGTATGTAACATAAAAAACTTTAAAACTCTCTTAACAAAACCATTAAAAAAAATCATTAGGCCTATCTCACCTCAAAATTTAGAAGAAATAAAAAGGAGACTTAGTAAAGAAACCTGGAGAGAAGTGTATGAGAGTCAGTCTGTGGAACAAAAATACAATAATTTTATCAACATTATAAGAAGAGAGATGGATGAAATTATGCCAAGAACTCAAAACATATTTAAGCCTAAAAATAAATCATACTTCTGGGACGAAAACCTACAAAAACTGAAAGCTGTCTTAACAACATCACAAAACAAATACAATACCACCGGACGAGAAGAAGACAAGCAGACCCTCACCATCCTAAAACGTACATACGACCTGGAAATCAAAAAGAAAAAATCACAACACACCCTAAGCAAAATTTCTAACTCAACAAATCAAAGCAAGGAGATATGGACAACCATAAATAAGGAAAGAAAGCCTAAAGAGCACACACGTAAAAATCTAACCATCGAAATCGATAATCAGCTCATCGACAATCCCAAAATTATAAGTAATGCCTTAAATTCATACTTTGTAGATCAAGGAACACCCGATGATAAAAACCCAAGCACCACTCCTACATCACTCCAACAAGAACCCAAAAGCTATACCCATAACCTAACAACTTTCAAACCGATAAACGAACAAGACCTGGCAAAAATCTTTAAAAAACTACCTCCGAAAAATTCTTCTGGATACGACGAAATACCAAATAAAATTATTAAATACTGTCAACAAGAGCTACTGTCAACCCTCGTCAACATCATAAATGCATCAATTCATCAAGCAATAGTACCGACAAAAATGAAAATAGCAACAGTATACCCAAAACATAAAAAAATGAAACTACAAAAATATCAAATTACAGACCAATATCCATCCTTCCCACCCTATCAAAATACCTCGAAAAAGTAATCTACGAACAACCCAGACAGCACAAGGATATTTTATAAATATTTTAAAAATATATATCCATCTTAAAAATATTTTATATATTTTAATATTATTTTTAAAATATATTTTTTAAATTTTTTAATAATATTTCAACATAATAGTTTTAAAATATTTAAAAATGATTTTTTAATAGTCTTAAAAATATATTTTGTAACTATTTTCTATTTTTCGGTTGAATATATTTACAAAATATTTTTAATATATTATGACAAAATAATTTAGTTTTTTATGTAAAAGATATTTTTAAAATATTTTATATACCATAAATAATAGCTTTTAAAAATATTTTTATAGAATTGTAACTGTAAAAATATTTTTAAAAACACTTTTTAACACCTTGTTTGTTTCTTGTCATTTCTGTTTTGTTTTTAACATTTGTTTCAACCGAGCTGGGTAAAATATATTTCCCATACATTTAAAAAATATATTTTGACAGCAAATTTCTTGTTCCTTAAAGAATTGTTTCAGGGCCATGACTAAAAGATTTTTTTTAATAATTTAAGTAGCTTACACTAAAAATTGCATGTATATTACAGTTGTCTTAAAATTACTCCAGAAATAATTCATCCTTTTTTCCAAACAGTTAAACAAAATGTTTAGACTACTTTATAAAAGTTAACTTTTAACATACCGGATGTCCGCCCAAGTAGCAAACATTGTTATTGTTGGCCCAACGTTGGGAAAAGGTCGGTACGGTTATGGGATCTATAGTAAATTGGATCTATAATAAATTATAGATTTATTTATAGATTATAGAGCAGGGAACACCTGCTTAATATAGAACAATTAAAATAATTCAATTTTTTAAAATTAATATTTTTTAACTTATTTGAGTTAATTTTTAATAGTTGAACAATTTAAGGGGAAATATTAATTAATGTTATAATAATACATTATAATAACATTACTAATCTAATTGTAATTAAATAATCTTTTTTCGAATACCAGTACCCTCTCCAACTCCCAGAAAAACAATTTCATCTACTTGATGCCTAAACAGTTTAACAGCATCCTATTATATACTGTGTGGTATCAAAAATATTTCAAGTATTGCGACCATTGCAACTGTCGGCTACTCTTTCACCACTTGAAAACTCTCTAAACCAACAAACACAGATAGCTCAGAGGTAAGGTAGGAGGCTCACAAGTCGAAGGTACCAGGTTCAAACCCCCGTCGGGGTAAAAAAAATTTTTTCTAGTTTTTTTTTCAAAATCTATTTTTATGAACTATTTAATCAATTTACTCAACTATGCTTTTCATACTAAATCTTTATTATTTAAAATATTTAAATACATTTTTTAATAATTTTTAAATAACATTTATAAAATATTTAAACAAAATATTTTGTTAAAATATTTTTAGTATACATTGGGGGTGGAATAGGATGCATTTTTAAAATATACTTTAAAGATTAAAATAAAATATTTTTAAAACA